GCTGATTAAGACTTTACTATCATAGGAACGTGACCAATGCAACTCTACAGCTACGAATTTCTATTATTGATTTTGCTAATAGCGATAACTTTGGAAAATAAAATTTATATGTAATACTCGAACTGAAATCCAGCAAGTTCATCAACAGTCAGTAATATGGTACTTGGTTCAATTGTTGTTGAATATTTGCCAATGTCGGATCTAGCTGTAAGTTAACTGCATGGATTGATTTGCAGCTATGGTATCAACATCTGCGTTACAGTCGCTTTTTATCATAATTTACTGCATTGTTGGGCTTAATTCGAGCCTTGCGTACTATACGTAATTAAAATCAGTTGATGATTTAATTATAATAATTTGTGATAGATATCAAGAAAGTACTTACGTATTTACTTGATTCATGATTAAGTACCCAATTAATAGAATTAAGATTATCTGAAGCGTTTGCTTGTACAAACTCTGCTATAAGTTTATTTATTTTCTACAAACCATACAAAAACCACATTAATAAAACTATGATTTTCTATAACCAGCAGTATAAAAAAAACCACATTAATAAACTATAAAAAGGCAGAAAGAAAGAGAAAATACTCACCTTTTTTTGATTAAAAATGCTCGTTATCCAATGAATCTTAAGCGCAAGAATATATACACTCAATGAAATCAAAAAGAAATTACGCCAATATAAATATGAATAAGAGGTACTATAGTAGTAGCTTTTTTTTGCTCTCGCATCTCCCGCGTTTGCATTATTTATCGTTATTGGCAGGCCTACAGCTAGCACAAGAACGTGATTACAACGTAAAGCATCACGAAGAAACTTGATCTAATTGCGTATCTCTTTATCGTTGCATTAAATCCATTAATTCGAGTGTCGAATAGTTTTTCAGAAATCTGAAAGGATGGAGATGGACGAGTCAAGTATTAGAGTGGATTAAGATAAAGTTGATATTTTTTGAAACTTACCCATTCTTGCATATCTGGAGTGTACTCCGCTTGAATCTTATCTTCTTTAATACGATATTG